CCCCTCTGATTTTCTGAAGAGAATTGTCACCTCGAACTTTCGTGATATGAGAAATTTAATGTCTGTTGTTTTCGAATTGTAAAAAATGTCGTTTTAGGTACCGAAAAAAGGTCAGCTATCATTTTCGGAAAGGCGATAAGACCTAAGGTTTTCGGGGAATGGACGAAAAAGCCCTAATAAATTCGAGAATACTCAAGTTCCCCTAGAATAACCGAACAGATAAAATTTTTTAGCGCAACCTAAAATTAATCTACAGAGCTTTAAAACTACTCCAGATAGCCTAAAACAGCGTTTAAAAGCATTTGAGAGAAAACGGTCGTTGGGTGCCCCTGTGAGTAACGTAGCAGTGTGCCCTTGTTAACAAAATGAATAGTTGACGAGCGCTGAGCCCTCGTCAACTATCACGCAATAGAAATCTCGAGCTCATAATGTAAGTGTGTAATAGATAGACATAGTGGGTAGCGTAGTCAATCAGAGAACGGCATTCGTGATAGTACGCTAGTAGATTTCTACTAAAACTCGATAGAAACACGGTACATATTTTCTATTTCTTAAATAGTGACAAATACTTTTATTATGATTGTAAATTTAAGCAATAGACCACTCTTTCTATGGGTTTACTGAGTGATTTACACGCGTTTCGAGTGTTCTCCCAACTTCCCAAGTGGCTCATTGCGCCGGTAAACCCATAGAAAGAGTGGTCTATCGCTTTTATGAAATCAGGCTACGGGAGGAAAGTTTATTGTACTTTCGTGATCAAGTTGCTTATTCTCATCAAATTCATGAGATGACGCGACCAACCAATCACAGCGACTGAAAGAATGAAAACACAGACTCCGCGCCGGACACGAAATCCGCAGGCAAAGCGACGAAGACATTTCACACTAAGAAAGTTTTTTTAAGAAAGGAAGGAAAAGGTTATTGGTGAAAGACAAAAGGTATATTAATTAACTCAAAAGTATTCTGACGGGGAAATGCAGGGATTCGTAAGTGGAATCGGTCATCACGAAAGTAAAAGGCTGTACGAAAAGTGTGCAAGTAGTCCAAACTTCATGTGCTTGACGAAGCGATTCAACGCAGTGTTTAACGATAACTTTCCAAAGTTTTGCGAATAGAATAAAGGTTAGTAACAAAAACGCTGCTCCCGAAATTTATTCAGAATTTATTTACTTGTGCTGAAGGCTATGAAGTCCGTGTTTCTCTCTGTATTTTCCTAAATGAAAACTATTGCTTGAAAGCTAAGTTTAAGGAAATCAAATTCATTTATCGTGTAATGCATGCATGCATGCATTGAGTTTAAACTCAAAATTTCTGATAGAAAGAAATCTTTTCCCTGCTTTTTTGACAACCCAAATAGATCAGTCAAGCCCAGCTGACTTCGTCCTTCACAGACTGTGTAAAGTACCGAAATAAGTGTTTAAAACTTACTTAATCTTAAACTCAAGCGTAACCGGAGTCGGCGTAAAAGTTTTGCCGTGGAAGAAAATAAAAAGCTTTATATGACGACCAACTTCTGGTCCTGTTCTTCCTTGCAAATTTCCATGTATATGTTGAATGAAAAGAATTCGTGTTGTTGGTTTCTCAGCCAGTGAAAGGGTGTCATTATTTGCTATCGCTAGAGTTCCGAGTTCTCTAGTTCCCGCCTACAGCTGCCATAGATCGGGAACCGTGGTTTACCGGTACAATGGAACATAGGTTTAGCAACTCTATTGACCAATCAGAGCGTGCGTAGTATCTTAGTTATTTTATAAAGATTAATAAGTTTATGATTTACGTTCTTACCTGAGACACAATTTTAACATGTATACATATTTATATCTCTTATTAATTAACTAGTTATTTATTTCTATTATTATTTAGCTCTTATTAACTGAGCAGGTCTGTATGAGAGAATCTTGACAGAGGTCTGTACACACGACCGAGGTCAAGATTCTCCCATATAGACCTAATAAGCTCGGTTAATAAGATGTTTATCATATGGCGCAAACAAGAACAATTTAATTCAGTCGTTTAATGTAACTGATTTGTACTAACTGACATTTTGCTTGCGAGCGGCGATAAGCTGAATTTGATTCTGCCAAAGTTTGCTCGTCCCCTTTACTTTTTCTTTCTCGTCAGGCTTTTTGGCACTTCCATAAATATTGTTAGATTAAAATAGTCAATGATTTGCATTTTAGTTTGCAACTTTTTCACTGCAAAACATTACCGGTCTAGATGGGAAAATCTAGACCGCTTTCAATATCGATGTCAGCCAATCAAATTCGTGAATTTAGTAGTTCCCAGTCCTTGTGAGACAAAGCCATATAATAATATTTTTATTTTACTTTCATTGTTATTTGATTGTCCACGACTAAGCTAAATACTCAGACACTTAAATAAAGTTCATTTATTCTATCATTCATTCATTCATTCATTCATTCATTCATTCATTCGTTCATTCATTCATTCATTCATGCATTCATTCATTAGAATTTGTTACAGATATTGTCGATCTGAAGCCTGAATTATTACAGGGATACACAATTGTGTGAATATCATTAAGTCAAATACGGATCTTGTTATGTAAAAAATCATCTTTAAGGAGAAAAGATGATCTTCGATGTTGTTTACTTACCAAACTGTTTTTCTGCTTCCTCAGCAGCTTTCACGAGTTCGGACCAATCAATTATCTGAGAGCATTCGTTATCGGTCGTGGTCTCTTCAGAAAATCTGTGCAGCGGAAAAAAACTTGTGAAAAAGATCAGATTCACCTTCTTATAGACAGTAAATTATGTCGGTGTCACTAATAGCTTGAAGTCTTCAGTCCATCCTACCAGAACAAATTTGAAATAGAAGTTATGATAAATTACTTACAACACAAATAAAATTCACTGGACAGAAATGTTTGGTCCTTAAGGTCGGGACACACTAAGGAACACGTCCGAGCGACTGGTTCTTGTAACAAGTCGCTGGAGAAGTCTCTTCGTGTGAACTAGCCATTTGTGTCAATAGATCTATCCCGGGGGGAGGGTACTCCCAGAAAAATCGGTTGGGGGTGTGCGGCCCGCTTCCCACAACCCTTACCCTATTTATGACCAAAATCTGCGATATTCCCTTCCCTATTTATGACCTGACCAAAACCTCGAAACCCTATTTATGACCTAACCCTTAAATCAAAACCCTGTTTCAGACCTGCGTTATAATACGTTCCCTAGTTCAGACCAATGTTAAATTACCGTAAACAGAATTTGTGAAGAGCTTTTGTTGATTTTCTTTTCGATAATGACGAAAAAGTGGCTTTTTTAAAAAAAGATACCCATATCAAGGCTAGAGTGCAAAAACCATATCCTCTTTATGACCAAACTGGCCAAAATCAGCTAAAATCGATACCCTATATATGACCAAAACAGCTGAAAAACCATACCCTTTGGGGCCGCACATACCTATATAGCCCATGTGAGGGAGTACCCCCGGAATNGAGATCTAATCACAGGGACAGAAATTTGGTCCCTGCTACTTGTCCCACGAATTCAAATTGGTTTGAAATGAAGAGACAAGTTCCCGTGAGTTGCCTCTCAAGACCCCTTGTGTGAACTTTAAGTGGGACTAGTCCCTGCAACCGCGGTCCCTTCTTTTAAACTCTCCAAGGGAAGCTGATGGATTTGCCCCCTCTGGGGGTCAATATTTACCATTGTATGGAATGCAAGAATAGTTTTCTTTTAAATATTCTGTATACTTGCTAAATAGGGGCCATGAGTTTGGGCGTGATACACCTTGTTAACATAGATCTGATCAAATCTCGTCCGGAGGGAGAGGGGGGGAGGAGAGATTTATCTCCTAGTCACTGGGCTGGAGAACTCGTGCATTTAAATGAAAAAAATTTCTGCAAATAAACAAAAAATATATTAAAAAGCAGCAGCATGTGCTCACTCTCCAGTCTTAATTAGTCCAGTGCCTTGTACTATAGTACTTAATAATTCACGTTCTTTTAGACACTTTTACCTTTTGGTCACGTCTTCAAGGTAATTTGCAGTCTCTTCTTTGCCATGATCTCTGGCAATAACCTCTGGCAATGTTAAATTGCCTTTGTATGCATTGTGTACCACTCTTCCCGCTGAAGAGGTGAAGATTATTTCAATGAACTGCTGAGCGCCAATTTCTGCTGCTACATATACTAACAGACTCAACATCTGGACTGGTTTGTTGCATCCTAAGAAGACAAGTAAAAGTTTATGATAAACTTATCTTCTGAAGGCTAAACATGTCAATAAATGATAAATGGAAAAAGTCGAGGTTTGTGTTGCTGCTTTCCCAAAGCAGGGCCATCACTTGAGGTACACGATTGTTCCATGGAGACGTTGGCTGTGATTATTGTGCATGTTCAAAGGGGGTGATTGTTTGGTATGCAAAGTTTTTAAGGGATCGCCAAACAGAAGATGTCGTATGCATCCAAATGGGCTGTTTGAGCTGTCGAGCATGTTTGAGCTGTTTTCTACGTTATATACAATGCAACGGTAAACTATGTTATGAGTACAGTGTTTGACTCTATTCAGCTAATGACTCAGATTTTGTTTATATGAATTCCTGTTCAGCTAAAAAAAGGGTAATAAGGGTAATATCCAAGTGGAGTTGTTATAGCTCCTGTTGGGAGTTCAAATGAGGAGTTAAAATTACCCTTTGAGAGGTCATTTCATAAAGAAAGAGAACAAAGGAATCTAAGTGTGCAAACTTCAAGAAACTGAGAGTAAAGATTCTAACTTATCGTAATAAAGCCGTAGCTAGCCGTCCTCGGCTCGATCAGTCTCCCATCTGCCGTGACATAAAGAGTGTAGATTACTGA